GGCACAGCAGATCCCCTGCCAGAACTGCAGAGGCAGCTGTTCTCTCACTCCAGGTAAGGGTGAATTTCTGTGACAAGGGGATTGAAGATTCCTGACACAGACCCAGCACCTCATTGAAATGCATAGGTTTATAGCTGTCATACATACTGGCCTTGAATGGACGAGTTTAGAGAGAAGCCTGAGGGGGAACAGAACAACAGTGGAAGGCTGGTTATTATTAGGATGCAGCTTCTATTGTGAACCTCAAACAGGAAAGAGGTGGGGGGTAGACATTTTTGTATCATGCCCACCCACATACATACACTGTGCCTGATATGAATGCCTCACGGTGGCTTGGAGTTATAGCGCTACCTAGTGCCATCATTTGCTCACAAGTGGAAATAAGACTATCATGTTGTATGTAGACATACATGTAGACGGTGCCCATGTGAACAGGATTTATTTAGGATCCTCATCTGCATGGTGCTACATTTGAAACACATGTCTAGATAAAGACTGAAAGTCAATTACAAAAGAGAAATATTCTAGGCCAGTACCCTTTAAGCATCCAGGATCAAACAGATGTGGAGTTTCTTTACTAGGAAATGACAAGCGGAGTATGCAGGAATTGATGGGTATGGGGGACCAGGTGGCAAATTGGTGGGGATAAGTATGTAGCAAAATCAGGTCACTTACATAGGGAACAGTGTTCTCCCTAATCCGCAGATTCTGTGGTGTTTAGGCAGACAGTGTGTGCCTGGGTGCCTGGAAACAAGGCAAAATTTAGAGGCATTTGGAAAGGATTAGAAGCCTGGCAAAGGTGTGGTGAAACTAAAGTCGTGGGTAAGAAGCAGGCAACTGCAAGCCGTTGGCTGCTCTTCCATTGTTTCGGCTCCCTCCCCGGATCTATTATTAAATGAGACTAGCAATGGAATGAAAACTCGTTGTCTTGAGGTTTGGCCAGTGAGTTCTCCAGGTAGACTGGCATTGTGTCCACTGCCCCTTTGGAGCCAGCCGGGCCATCTTCCACCATGCTTTCACACTGATAGGTGTTAAAAATGTGAGTAACCACACACTTCCGGAAGAAGAGACGATGGCGGTGTGGGAGCTTATTAGCAAGGGAGTTCAGCTACTCCTACACCCTTGGTGGAAGTCCTGCTTTGGGACAGGTCATTCTCTCAAACAAGCACAGAATTTGGGAGGGACTCACACGGGGTGCTGAGAGAGGAATGGCACACCCACCTCGCTAGCCCCCTCAGCTGACTCAATCCTGGTGATCAACGGGATGATAGATGCGACAGCCAGACTGCTCTCACATCTGACTGTGGTGGTTTGAATGAGAAGGTCCCCTGTAGCAATTCTTTGGCCCACCAACTAGCTCCCAAATCATGGCAGAGACTTATTGTTAGTTTTGAATGCTCTGCCTAGCTTAGGCTCATTTCTGGCCAGCTCTTTTAACTTAAATTAACCGGTTTCTATTTATCTACCTTTTGCCTCACAGCTTTTCACTTTTCTTTCCTTCTTTATATCTTACTTTGCTTCCCCTGTCTGGATCAATTTCTGGCCCCAGGTGTCTCTCTCGTTCTCTCCTCTCTCTTCTCTCGATCCTAGAATTTTCCTCCTACTTATTCTCTCTGCCTGCCAACCCCGCCTATCCTTTCTCTGCCTAGCTATTTACTGTTCAGCTCTTTATTAGACCAATCAGGTACCTTAGGTAGGCAAGGTGAAACAAATGCAACACATCCTTACATCATTAAACAAACGCAGCATAAACAAATGTAGCACACCTTTACACAGCTAAAGTTATATTCCACAGCATAAACAAATGTAACACATCTTTGCATAGTTAAATAGTCTACAACAGTCCCCCGAAGACTCACGTATTTTGAACAAGTGTTCCCAGCTTGTGGCACTGTTTGGGGAGGTTTAGGAGGTGCAGTCTTATTAGAGGAAGTCTCTGCTTTGAGAGTCAGTGTCTGCTTTGAGAATGTAAAGGCCCAGGCCATTTCCGGTTGCTCTGTCTGCTTTGTATTTGTGGTTTAAGATGTGAACTGCCAGCTTTCCGTTCAATTCACTGTGCCTGCCTGTGGTGGCCACCCCCCCCACCTCCCCAACCCCCCACCCCCGGCAATGATGGTAATGGACTTTCATTCCTCTGGGACCATAAACTCAAGCAAACTCTTCTTTTTATAAGTTGTCTTGGTCATGGTGTTTTATCACAGCAACAGAAAAGTAACTAAAGTAGCTGAGTGAGGTCTTGCCACTCAGATAAGCTTCTGATTTGTGAAAAGAGAGCCCGAGGCATTTTCTGATCCTAAAAAGTGACTGGGTTAAAAGCCTGCTCTAAATGTCATTCGAGGGGCAGAGTTCCATCCCAAGCAGGTAACAGAGTTTGGCAGTGTCATCCACATGGTTCTAGCTTTAGAGTCATGATGGATGCAAGACTAAAGGGGTTGTGGAATCTTCCTCTGTGGTTTCAGAGGGCCACTGGGGCCTGGCAACATGTGGGAGGGGAATCCCTGTGTGAGATCCTGAGAGGGCAGGAGACCCTGGGAGGCCATTTTTCACAGCTGTGGACATGAAACCCAGGCTACATCAGAGACCCAGACATGTTAGAAATGCCAGAGCCACGAGATACCTACCAAGGAGAGCTGCATACTGGGAGTGGGGCCAGCCAGACCAAGAGAGAGATGTGTGTCACGGGGAGAAAGACTAGAAAGTAGAGTCATCCAAGCCCTTTGAAATTAAATTCCCAGATATGGGACTTTGATCTAGAGGATTTGGTGTTTGTGCTGAGTTCTAGTCTTGTTTGTGTCCAGTATTTCCTCACTGTGCCCCCAGTCCTCCTTTTGGGAATGGAAATGCATACTCTGTGCCATTGTATATTGAAAATAAGTAATTTGCTTTCTTATTTTACAAGTCACTCTCTCTCAAAAGAGACTTTGGACTTCTAAACAGGGTTGAATCTATAGAAGACTATCAGGACTTTTGAAGTTGGACTAAAAGCATTTTTGTATTATACTATGGCCACGAACTTATGAGGACCCGGTTTTGGAATGCGGTGGTTGGAATGAGTGACAAACTCTTGGAGGAAGCATGTCACTGGAGGAGGGCATTGAGAGTCTAGAGACTCACGCCACTTCCAGTTTACTCTCTGCTTTGTGCCCTCTGTTCAAGATGTGACCCCCATGCTCCGGCCACCACCCCAGCCTGCTGCCCTGGCTCCCTGCAGCAATAACGATGGATTCTTACCACTTTGTAACTAACTGTAAGTGCAAACAAGCCCTTCCTTCTTTAAGTTGCCTTGGTCATGGAATTCTATCACAGGAAAGGAAAAATAACACACATAAGCACAGAATAGATGAGTG